TGTGTGTGTGTGTGTGTGTGTGTGTGCGCGCGCGCTCATTTTCGTTGAACAGTGAAAATAAATGCATGACTGTACCAAACTGTTTTGTCAGACTTTTACCGACTCATCATGAGGTTTATCCCCAACAGTCTGGCCCGGATGCATTTGAGTGATGGGAAACGACATACACACACACACACAGTCTCTCTCTCTCTCTCTCTCTCTCTCTCTCTCTCTCTTTTTCTCAATCAATCAATCAATCAATCAATCAGTCAATCAATCAGTCAGCCAATCAATCCATCAATCAATCAATCCATCAATCAATCAATCCATCAATCAATCCATCCAACCATTGATTGATTGATTGATTGGTGTATTGATTGATTGGTGTATTGATTGATTGAATGAATGATTGATTGATTGATTGAGCACTCACCAGTCCACCATGAAAGAGTTGTGTATGTGTGTGTGTGTGTGGGTGGGTGGGTGTGTATGTGTGTGTGTGTGTGTGCTCATTTTCATTGAACGGTGAAAATAAATGCATGACTGTACCAGACCGTTTTGTCGGACTTTCATCGACTCATCAGGAGGTTGCTCGCGCTCATCTCCCTATCACACACACACACACACAGGAAACGACACACACACACACACACACACACACACACACACACACACACACACACACACACACACACACACACACACACACACACACACATATGCACAGTCTCTCTCTCTCTCTCTCTCCCTCTCTCTCTCTCTGAATCAATCAATCCGGAGTTAATCCGGAGTGAATCATTGCATCAATCAATCAATCAATCAATCAGTCAATCAATCAATCAGTCAATCAATCAATCAGTCAATCAATCAATTAACCAGTCAATCAATCAGTCAATGTACCAATCAATCAGTCAATCAACCATTCAAGTAGTCAATCAATCAGTCAGTCAATCAATCCATCAATCAATCAGTCAATCAACCATTCAAACAGTTGGGCACTCAATCAATGTCGTCAATCAATCACGTCGGGACTATCAACCCACCAAACCCATATCGAATCAATTAATCAATCAACGTGATCATGCAAACAATCCATAAATCACTCAATCTATCAATCAATTAATCAATCAACCAAGCAATAAATGAAATAGTCAATCAATGAAGCAATTGACTCAAACAGTTGGTCAATCAATTATTCTGTCACTCAAGCCGTCACTCAGTCACTCCGTCAGTCGGTTAGTCGTGCAGGCTTTCAAGCAGTCATTAAGTCGGTAAGTCGTGCAGACTTTCAGTCGATCAATTAATCAATCAAGCACGCAAACAAGCAAATAATCAATCAGTCAATCAACCATTGAAACAGTTAGGTACTCAATCAATGTCGTCAATCAATCAATCAATCATGTCGGGACAATTGACCCACCAAACCCATATCGAATCAATCAATCAATCAATCAATCAATCAATCAATCGGTAAGTCGTGCAGGCTTTCAGTCAATCAATCAATCAATCAATCAATACATCAAGCAAGCAAGCAAGCAAGCAAGCAATCAGTCAATCAACCATTCAAACAGCCGGGCACTTAATCAATCAATCAATCAATCAATCAATCAATCAATCAATCAATCAATTACGTCGGGACAATCAACCGACCAAACCCATATCGAATCGATCAATCAATCAATGACATTGATCATGCAAACAATCCATGAATCACTCAATCAATCAATCAATTAAGCAATCAACCAAGCAATCAATGAAATAGTCAATTAATAAAGCAGGTGACTCAAACAGTTGATCAATCAATTAATCGGTCACTCAAGCCGTCACTCAGTTAGTCGTGCAGGCTTTCAAACAGTCATTAAGTCGGTCAGTCTGTCACTGCAATGGATCTGAGTCAGGCGGTCGGTTTGTCAGTCAATCAGTCATTCAGTTGGTCAGTCAGTCTCTCAATCAGTCAGTTGTCCAGTGCATCAGTCAGTTTGTTAGTTACTCAGTCTGTCAGGCAGTGACTCTGTCAGTCAGTTTGTCAGTCAGACCTGGTTGTGAGCGACTCGTTGATTGAGTCTGTCTACCAACCCACCCACCCAAGCAACAACTCCTAACAGCTACCCCATAACCGCCGCACAGGCAACCACCCATCCACCCTACCAACCACCCAACCATCTAACCAAAAACCTAACGAACCAACCACCCAACGAACTACCCAACCAAGCAACGGCCCAACGAACCAGCCATCCAACAAACCAACCAACCAACCACCCAAACAACCTCCCAACCACCGTATCCAACCACTTCTGTCAGGCGGGCAGTTCTGTCATTCCGTTGGTCAGTCAGCAATGATGGCAGTTAGCCAATAACTCTGACGGCCAGTTTTGTCAGTCTGTTCGTTAGTCGGTGATTATGGCAGTCAACCAATATCCCTGACAGCTACTGCGGGGGGGGGGAGGTCAGACTGTCAGTCTGTCACTCAGTCAATGACTAACTTTGTGAGGCAGTAAGTTTTTCTGTCATTCGGTTTGTTACTGAGTCACTTCGTCAGTCGGTCTACCGGTTGGGTGAGCCAGTCACTACCTATCTCTGTCATTCATTCTATCACAATTTCAATCGTGCAGTCAATCATGCAGACTGACCAACTGAATTACTGAATAACTGTCACGCCCACTGATCACGTTCGTCCAACCACACGTGCTGAATAGCAAGCTAAGGTATCAAACCGTAAATTGCAACCAGCCAAGCACGCATGCAATGAACAGACGAAGCAATGAAGGGAGCAAACAACAAAGCAAGCAACTAGGGATCGCGCCAAGCAACGAACCAAACAACTAACCAACCACCCATGTCGCATTTCGCTTGCTTGTCGTAAGTCCTGTTTTGCAATTTGACAGCGAATCAGTGAAGGATAACTCTTTGAAGATTGTGCTATCAAACCTTATTGTATTGCAAGCGACGAACCAAAATAGCAGTGAATCAATGAAGGATAACTCTTTGCTGATTACAGGACTAAACGTTCTTGTTTTGCAATTTGGCAATTCATACGCTGGAGATTGTGCTAACAACATCGTACCGCCTCCCACCCCCCACACGTACGGCGTGTGAGAGGACAACCCAACTTTCATGGATGACGCACCGGGCAGTTGCACTCCTTATAACGGGAGGTCAGCAGAACGGCCCCCTCCTTTGTCCACGCGTGACAACGCCACACCGATGTCAGCGCATGCTGGAGGGCGCGGGTTGGTGGGAGTATCCCCTTACACCAGTCCGGATGACATGCGATCAGCAAAGAGGCCTCGTGTTCTATCTCTTTCGCCTGCGGTCGTCGTCACTCCCGGTGGTGCGATTGTGCAGTCTCCGTTGCCACCCTTGTTGTCGTCTACCACACTCCTGTCGTATACTCCGATACATCCTTTATCGGATTTCGATGTGTTGTGTTATCATGTGTTGTCATCACCATTTGCAGTTTGTGTCTAATGTCCTTGCAGCACCAACATGGACGCGTGCAGCACAACCATTTCTTCCGCCTCCAATTCTTGTTGGTCGCGATGGGTTGGACTCCATCCCCCTCGAGGAGTGTTCTCAGTCATCATCAACGGTGTTTGCAAGTGGAGGGTCCACGCTGCGGCGTGACGGAGGTGGTCCAAGTACAGCCCCACGAGTCTCACGATCGTATGTCGCATCAGTTCATGGGCAGGGGGGTGTATTGGATGACATATGTCGTGCCTCTGGCGGGGACATACGTGACCGTGGTTCCGACCGTCACCTCTTCGTCTCTCAGTCGGAAGGGGATGACATCGTACGTGAGAGCGGAGATAGGGACGAAGGTTGTGCTCCTGACGCACAACGTCGTGGTGCGGGCCTTTCAGAGCAGTCTGGCGGGTCTTTCGGCCTGTTGGGTTCGCAGTCTTCCGGTTCTACCAAGTACATTCATTTGTTCCTGACTTCCGCTTGCAAGCGGAGAGTTTGTAAGTTACAATCAGCGATGAAAGAAGTGAGCGAAAGTCAGGGGTCATGAGCGATGTTATTGACCGGTTGATGCACTGGTCATTGCCTGCTATCCGGTCAGAGTTCGGGCATGATGTGACATCGAGGATCGCGGCAACACTGCCGCCTGGCAGTCGTGCTGAGGTGTTCCGTCTCGGAGGAGGAGGGGATGATTCGACGGCAGATGCAGATGATTATGGCGAACCTGAGGGTGTGGGGAGCCGTGGAGGCAATGGCGGGTCATTTTGTGGGTCGGATGATCCACTTCCACGTTGGGGGCATGCGTCACAGCATGGCCGTAGATCACGCGGGCGGCCACCGGCCTGTGGCAGGTCGCGTTCGCAGTTTGATTATGTGCGGCTCAATGGTGCCCTGCAAAGCGAACCTTATCATGATCGGTCAGATGTGTTGAAAACAACGCGTCGCTGGAAAGGCCTGAAAGCGCCTGATATCGTGTTCGTGAAGCCAGTGAAGCTTCTGCAATTGCTCGGGTTGTTCGATTTGTGTTGCCCACGCCACGGGGGCGGGTGTCGTGTGGATGTGTCCTGTGTCGGTTATCCGGGGCAGATTTGTCGCATTCCATTTGCTTATCGTAAAACCTGTCGTTGGACGTGGCACAATGCACTGATCACGGGAACTGTGCACTCCTGCAGACTTCATGAGCATTTGTTCTATGCGTCCGTCACTGCGGGTATGACATATACCGTTCTCAACAACTTCTGCATCGTGCTTGGGGTGACACCTGTGCATAAGCCCACTTTTTACAGTAACATACGCGGTGAGGCAAATGTGCGAGAGGGTTGGAATGCAAAGGTCGTCAGGCAGGGCGTGCGATACTGCGACTTGGACATAGACACGGTTATGCGATAAGGGAAACCAGTCACTTTGATAGTTGACGGTCGCTACGACTCGGTCAGGTCTGCACAACATTGCACTATTACCACGATTGAGTATGATACTCGTCTTGTGGTGGGTGTTCATACTCTTCGTCCAAAGACGGAGGGAAAGGCATAAAACCAACTTGAAGTTTCTACTGTTGTGCGCCTGTTGAGAGACTTGCTTTCGAGGGGGTTGCAGTTCAGGACTGTTGTCTCCGACGATTGTGCTGCATTGGGTCTGCAGTTGGAGCACCTCGGTATTGAATGGCAGAAGGATCGCCATCATAAGGTGAAAAACATTCGCAAGGCACTGAGAAAAACCTTGACACTGAAGGTGGCAAAAAAATTGAATAACCCTCATCAGTGCGTCTCCGAATCTCAGCTTATGCAGTTCATGAGAAGGAGTTGTTGGATGCTTTGTCAGACCGTTTTGGACCAGGGTGTTTGACGCTCAAAGAAGAACGATTGAAGAAAAGCGACTTCGTCGCTGTTGGGTTGAGCAAAATGTACCCGTACGGCACGACGACGAACGAGCAGTCCTTGCTCGTGGATCCAGACGGTGTGACTGAGTTCCATGTGCATAAGGTGGGACATTGGTTTCTTGGTGCTGCTGAGCTTTGCAGAGATGAGGGCGGCGACTCTGTAACTCTGCACAATGATACCATGATGATCGTCGAGCATTGGGCAGGGGACCACTTGAGGTGCGTTGGGAACAGAGAGCTTTTATGCGCAAGGGGTGGTGACCCATGTCGATTGCCTCTGTACACGCGCAACGAGCCTGTGCATGACATCATTCGGCAGACGTTGGGCAGGTATTGCAGCACGACCGCTTGTTCGTACTACACGGAGTTTCGTCACACGTCGACGGTTGAGACCTTCCAGGGCACGATCATCATTTACGCGAAGAAGGCCTTGCACTTCGAGAAGTCGTATGAGCCGCGTTTGGCGATTGCAATCATTCGATGGAACACTCATGCATGGCAGGATCCCGTGGAGTATCGTGCCCGCATGCCTTCTGGGACTTCTATTCGTCCAAGGCCGAGCTACTACCGTCACAATCACCCACCTCAAGACTCATGGGTGGATCGGCTGTCGACGTTCATCTTCGGTTGGCATGGCGTTTCTGATTGGGCTCAACGCCTTCTCGAGTACGACGATTGTGATGTGGTTGGCGAGGTTGGGTCGTCGACGCCTCCTCTGCCTCGCAATTTTTTTTGCAGAGGCGAGGAGACCATTGGCCGTGACGAGAACGACGTTGATTCAGGTGCGGATCTCGACGTTGTGGGAGGTAACAATGTTTTTATCATTGGCGTCGGGGATCAGTTACCTGGACCAGCAAATGCCGTGTCCGATCGATCGTGTTATTCTCTCTCTTACGCAGATGATGTCGAGTTGGTCGATGATTGAGATTGTGTTATGTCGTAGTCTTTTGTACATGCGACTTTAACATTTATTGGCTTTCGAGGTGGACGTGCTGATGCTCACTGTCTTTATGATCTACTTTATTTCATTGTGTGACCTCATTTCACATTCTTGTCGTCTTTTTTTTTTGTCCTCATGCGGTTGTATGTTCTCACATCGTATGTATATATGTATATGCGAGGAGCATGGATGCTCGTCAGTTATAAAAGTGTATTAGGAAACATGTATGTAACACATATCTCAAAAATAGCATTGTCCCACACCAAACATAATGGAATATGCGCATATAACCTTTCAAAGCAATTCAATGATCACAACCATATTGAAGATAGAAATTTGTAAGCTTACAATTATATAGGGTCCGACAACATTACATGAAGGGCTAAGCGTCCTCCAAGACTTTCTTCACTGGTGTTCACTGGCGCCAGCAACCAATAATGAAATGTAGTGTTAAACTTGTAAATCCACTATAACCCTGTTCTCTCTCTCTATGTCTTCCTCCTTCTCTTCTCGTCAGTCTATGTCTGCTCTCACTGACCAGAGTCCCCTCGCGCGCGTAATCCCTAACATGAGGATTTATTTTGAACAGTATTCATTGGTTCTACATACTAGGTAACAGTAGTACTAGTGGCAAATGGCGTTGCCGCAGCTATGGCTGCCCCGTCACCCAGCCAGCGTCTTTCTTCATTGCTCTTAGCGCAATTCTCAAGTGTGGCGCAACTCACCCACGGCTTCTCAAGTGTGGTCCTTATTGTGACTTTGGAAAATGCCTGCTTTGTATTTATTGTCGTTCAAAAAATTTTAAAAAAAAATATTTCCCCGATAATGCGGCGCAAGGGCTATCACCCTGTAATTATCGTCATGCACGACGACGAGGATACGCATTCTCCGACGGATCGGAATTCTATAACCGAAAACCTCTCGGGTTGTTGTCTGGCCATCGTTCCCGCATCGTCATCTCGAACTCGTTCGACAATTCTAGCGAAATCGAACAAAGTCACACCTGCGTGAGAATGTAACATACCCATTGAATCGATTTGCTTTTGGTATTATATCTTGACGGTCGACAAGGAGGTTCATACACTCCTGTAATTCATCCTCCAAACCAACAAAAATCACAGCCTGATCCAACAACGCAGCAGTTGCGGGCCAACAACTTCTAATCTTTTCGACAATCAAATTATCATCCCTGAAAGGGTCGATGACAGTCCCGTCACCGTAAACGACAATATCGGCTCACACACCAGCCAAAAGTCTCCGACGGTCCATCACAATCACAGTGGAGGGTAACACGTTCCGTTACCAAGGATGTCGATGCACAAGATGACGATATCGGACGAAATGTCAGCAAATTAAAATGTAACACAAACTTAGGTAACTTATCCACAGAGAGGCAGTAATGCAGAAAAAATATAACTTTTGAACACATTGAATAATTTGTGAAGTTCATCATGTTTTTCTGTTGCATCAACGTAACATATAAAATTGATCGATCAATCAATCAATCAATCAAGATTGATTGCTTGCTTGCTTGCTTGCTTGCTTGCTTGATTGGTTGGTTTGTTGGTTGATTGATTGATTGATTGATGGATTGATTGAAGAGAGAGTCTTTTGTTTTATTTCTAAGGGAGGATTTCTGGTATAAGGTTAAACATTGTTTTTAAGCTGAATGATTTAGCCTGAGAACCACTCACATAAGTATAAACTGAGTATAACAAAAGATATGTTATTTATACTTGCATGTGAACCGACAGTTGAGCATTGTTTCTAAGTTGAATGGTCCAACGCTAAGTCATATCACTACGAAGAGAAAGGAAGCCACATAATATAATTGGAAGTAATTTGGGCAAGCTGGACATTGTTTCTAAGCTGAATGGCTCAGTCCCCTGCCTATATTTTTATTTCTTTTGAGAACCAAGTTAGAAAGTATTAAACTTTGGATCTTAGACAGTTCAGGGTGACTAAACATTGTTCCTAAGCAGAATGGTATAGTCATATGACGAAAGAAGATAAAATTAGTTATGCAACATGTTCGTGTATATCCTAAGGTATGTTAGACATTGTTTGTACGCAGAATGGTCTAGCACCATGCCATATGTAAGCTGGATATAAAGGATAAATCATGTAAAAAGTTTCATGACCTATTTATGAGGATTTGACTTGGGGTTGATGAGAGTACTTACCTTTGTGGTTTGGCCTTGCATGTGGCTGAGTGAGATCACTACTTAGTCTGAGTTTCAATTTAATAGGTAGTTGCTTTAGAGGCTCGCCACGTGCTAGAACAATAAGAGTTAGTTCAATTTTTACATTTTCTTAGCTAACTTTATTTTACTTAGGTCAATTTTCGCGTTTTCTAAGATCATTTTTTATACTTGGCTTTGTATAAATCTTGGTAAGCTAGTTTCTCTACGGGAAGCGCTATCGAAATTTTTTGCAAATCCAAGGAGTTAGTCAAATTTTGACTTTTCAAAGTTTTACTTGTCTAAATTTTATATATGGCTTAGTAAAAATCTGGAAAGTCTTATTTTCTAAAGCGAGTGCTAACCAAATTTTTGCTAATTCAAGAAGTTAAATAATATTTGACTTTGGAAAGTCTTGAGCGACGCCTATCCGGTTTCCGCGTCGGAAGGTTATGGGATGGATACAAAAGAGACTAAGAGTCTCGAGCAACGCCTATCTGATTTCCGAGTCGGAAGGTTATGGAATGGATACAAAAGGGACTAGGAGTGTTGTTGTGTTGTTTGTTTTGTGTCGTTCTATGGTGTGTGTGTTCTATTTTTATGTTTTAAGTTTGGTGTAACGCGTTCAATCTATCCTTAAATCATTCAAAGCATGAAGTTGGATTTTTCAGCCCAACTTCAATCAGAAACCCCAAAGAAAACAGACGGACCAAGCCATTCACTTAGAAACAATATGTGGTCCCAATGATCAACTAGACAAACCCTCAAAATTAAACACAGCAATGAGACTATTCTGCTTAGAAACAATGTCTGACCCTTCAGAAAACAGCCAATTAAACATAGCCATGGGCCATTCAGCTTGGAAACAATGCTCAGTCCTTGGCTGACCCGGTCAAACGCATGCAAACTATCTTTCTCCCACCTTCCCTTGTTCATCCCTTAATCTGCTTTCAATCAAAAATAAAGTAGAAACTTAAATTTTTCACACACATTCCTTCCACTTAGTGTGATTAGATCATGAAAAGAAAGCAAAAATTATAGAGGGACGCATGCGTACAACAATCAAACCAGAGGGGGATAGTCAAACATGGGTGTAGTGGGTTCGTACAGACAGAAAGAAGTATATATGATGGTTCCCTGCCTCCAGAACTCATCCTAAGTTCCGACAGGGCTCCCGCAATCGGTGGACCGACTTCCTACAAAGTCTTGTTGCGGTCCTACGGTTTGCAATCCCACATGCCGCCTTCCCTTTAGAGCAGGATTAGACTTAGAGTAAGAAAGGCAGAAGAAAGGGTTTTGGACGCTCGAGATACAAGAGAAGGACTGACTCAACTCCCAGGAGAGGGCTTTGCAATCTTCGTGCGTCCGAGGGCCTCACAATGATGGCAAAAAACAGCAGCAGCTTGGTCCAAACTGAAGTCAAACTGTCGAAGTCAACCCTCTGATGACCTTCTTATTCACAACAATAACCCCCTTTGCAAGCTTGACTATTCTTCTGAGTCTCAACGCTTTTCCTAAAAAACAGTTATCGCTACACTGCATCCTTAAGATCAGGAAGGAGTCCTCAATCTGTCAGTCTCTGCACTAGCACAACGATACGCAGCAGGTACTCAATAGTAGACCAAAGGAAGTGATAAGTCAGCTACACACAGTTTGTCGCATGGAGACCGCATTTGAAGCCTTGTTTTTCAACTGCTGCTTATTCACATATGCGAAGACACAGTCCGCAGTCACCGTACTCCAAGGTGAACTGTGAATCCCGTTTTCACGATAACGACAAACTGGCGAGTCTTTGCAGCAGCAACCCCTCCTTGCCTCCTCTGGGTAAGCTTGGTAGCCGCTCTTCAATCAGCGGGCTAGGCCACTACGCTGCAACTTCCTCTCAGCGACGGAGCAAAATCGAGCCGTGTATTCCACTCGACCATAGGCAGACACACTGCCAAGCTCCCAAACACCTCAACAGTGTACGACTGAAAAGAGAAAGTCACAACGCGACAGTCAGCGATGCACAACGCAGACTGTAGCAAGTGGAGAGGCGTGGGAGCAGCACATGGAACAAGAGCCCTCCAATGTGCACTTTGAGCCCGGTAGTATTTAAGGGCAACAACATCTCCTCGTCCCTACCTGTTGGACTTAGCAACAACTCCTTGACGACAACCGTGACCAGTAGCAGCAATATCAGCACCTTCAATCAACAAGTCTAAGTACCATGATGCGGATGAAGCTCTTCCCTGCCTTAGCACTCAATGCCAGGCTATTACCACACGATTAGTCCGCCCCAATCACATAGTAGCGGAGCAATCCCCTGATGCCAGCTGCAGCGACCGAAGTACAGGCAGAAGTTACCCTTGTAGGCCATCGTCGTAACCAGGTACATGCTATCTCCTCCCTCTCTCTGTTTCTCTTCCCCTTCGTCGTCGTTGTCATCTGCGACGGTGGCGCTCCTCGGCACTAACAGTGTATAAATGAATTTATCGCTCAATTATAGAAATATACACTGCTTTCCATCCATGTGCGCAGAAAAATAAAAAAGGACTATTTCCGTTGTTGGGATGAACAAAATCGAAATAAATCTTCCGCTAGAACGCGGAGAGGTTCATTGTCATTTTACGATTCCTTCTCCTCTGCGCAGCCCGTATCTCCCGCAGTGCCAAAATTGTTGCTCAAAACGAAAAGCCAACCACATCATCCAGTTCGCAATACACAAAAACCCCCATCTCACATCTAAGTCCGCTCGACTCCGTCAAGGATCAATCGAGCTATGAGATTCGCCGTCCCACCCCACGCACTAAATTTTCTCTACTACTTCTATTTCACTAACTCATACGCCAAACTAACCTCATTATTCGCTTTGTCCGTCTCAAAACTACCACTTCGCATTGCTTCTCTCCCAATTCCGACCAGAAATAGCCAAGATACGCGTTCTCCCACTTCCATCGTCTCCACTTTCACCATTTTCTTCTTCTTCCTGTTCGTGCCCGTTGTTCTCGTCACTTTTGACGTAGCGCTCCGTCACACATCCAAGTGGTAGGACTAGTCACTAATTCTACCTACCCTGCGAGGAATTGCGAAGAGCGACTATTACTTGGACGCGTCGATTACTCTTTTGCCACTACACCCGAACCCAACGAACCGCTCGCGCGCCGATGTAGTAGCAGCCTTCACTTCGGTACCTCCTCAATGTCAGTCGTGCGCTGACCCAGGGATTATAGGGGGTACTGGCCAGCAAAGACTGTCGGGCCAAGGCAGCGAAAGTCGAAACCCACTATGGGGTAA